AACAGTATGACGTTTCCTTAAAAAACTGAAAATAGAAGTCCCATTTGACCGAGCAATTCCATTACTAGGAATATATCCTAAAGAGGTGAGAGATAGTGCACAAACAGACATATGTATACCTATGTTCATCGCAGCACAATCCACCTAATTGAATTTTTGAGATGAAAACAACCTAAATGCCCATCAACGGATGAGTGGAGAACCAAATTATGGTATATGCACACAATGGTATACTATGCTACATTAAAGAACAATGAGGGAAAGTGGGGAATGTACCCAAATCCATGTATAGGGTTGGCAAACAATGGTCCTGTAAGTGTATTTGTATGATCTGAATTCCCAGATGTATAGTAGAACAGACAAGGGACAAGGTTGTATTCACTTCTTGGTCACAGCCAGATACCCAGAGGGACTGAGTAGTTGAACCTATGGGATCAGTCCATAGTCACAGGGGACATCAAGCTCAATTGGCATAACATACTACACAAAACATTGTTCCATCTCCTACTTTGGTGAGTAGCGACTGGGATCTTCAAAGCTTGCAAGAAGCCATCTAGATACAATGATGGGTCTCTCCTTGTCCAGCGCAAAGAAGAATGAAGAAAACCAAAGATTCATGGAAAGAATTAGTCCAAGCGACTGGTACACCATGAGATCTGCAGCCTATATGACTATGAGACCAGAAGAACTAGATGGTGCCCGGCTACCAATGCCAACCACTCGGAGGGGGATCTATGTAGGAGATCCTGGATAGAGAGAGAACAATGTGGAACAAAACTCAAAATCATTTTGAAAAAAAAAGGTAGGGGGACTAGGTTTGCTGGTCTGATAGAGCCTGGTGGAACCACTGGGACTATGGCCTCTAGCTGCCCTTCAGGTCTATAATTGAACCCACACTTGTGGCTTCCAGCCAAGCAAAAGAAAGGCATAGGAGTTGAACATTTACCTAAGGTAAATACACTGCTTGGAGAGAACAATCATGGGAGAAAGAAGGGCTGTTTATACACAGGGAGACAGCTCAGGGGGCAGGGGTGCATGAAAGGATTGACACAAGGAAGAGGTGCCTGTTGGGAGGAAGTGGGAGGGTAGCTGTTGCATGTGGTGAATTGTGGTCTATGTAATGAGACAAAGTGTTTGTGAACGGCTGTATGGAAAGTGAGTTTGCACTGTAAATTTTCACCCAAATCACAATAAAAAAAAAAAAAAAAAAGATAAATAAATGACAACATTTTAAGAAAAAAGGAAAGACAATCAGTAATTCTAAGAAAATGTAAAAAGCTGTATAAGAAAGGAAACTTAATCGTAATATTGGTGTTGTAAGTTCTTCTCTATAAAATCTTTTCATTCTTACAAAAAAAAAAAAAGAACAATGGGGGATACACAAATCATCTCACAACGTGGATAACCTGGAGGACATTATGCTGAGTGAAATAGGTCAATCACAGAAAGACAAGTATTTTATGAGCCCATTACTGTAAAAAGACAAAGATGGATTTGCTTGGGAAAGGGAGCTCACTTTGTAGGTTACTAGGATGGGGAGGGTAGGGGAGGGATTAATTTCACGCTAGTTGGGGCCCATGAGCTGACGTGGGTAAGGGGAGGGATATAGGGAAAGGATTTGTGCCCACATGATAACATTAAGAAATGGGAGGACACAGAATTGTGCACATAAGAGATAGGTGACAGATGCTAATACCAACCAATGTTTCCACAATAATACATCATCATTAACACCAAACCCCAGGCTACATACAATAAACACATAAACACCTGGGAGGATCAGATGGGGGTCAGTGAGCAGGAGTATGCTCTAGACCAAGGATAGATTCAGCTGAGGCTAATCACAGATACCAGTGATACAAAATACCTGCAATCCTTACAGAAACAATAGAAAACAGACATAGAGTAATACCTCATAGAGACAGACACACAGTAAACCCTGACAGACACCCAGACACTGTGGGAGGGAGATCCAATAGATCTATCATCTCAGGACCATAGTACTGTGGGACACCAGACTCAATTGGCACAACAAAATACATAAAAGCCTTATTTCACATCCTACATTGATGAGTAGCAACTGGGGTCTTAAAAGCTTTCAAGCAGCCATCTAAGATGCAGCTAATGATCTCCTAGCATCGAAACCAAAGAAGAATGCAAAAAAAAAAAGGGCATTTGGGAGCAATAAGCCTTAGGACACGATGGCCTTCAAGACCAGGAGAACTAGATGGTGCCTGGCTACCAATGCCAACCACTCAGGAAAGGATCAAATCTGGAGATCCTGGATAAAGTGGGAAGGAAAACATGGCACAAAATCCAAAAACTCAATAATGACCAGAATTACTGGCCAGATGGAGTCTGAAGAGACCCCCAATACTAGGGCCCTGGAATACATTCTTCACTTGGAATAAAACTCACTCCCAGGGCCTGGCTCTCAGCCCAATAGTTAACAACATATACATGCAGACCACTCAACCCAGGATGATGCACCCACATACTCTATGGTAATACATCCCTTAAAGCAATAGACCATGGGACACCAAAGGACCAACATTCAAATTGAGGAAATGCAGGACAAACAGGAGTGCATAAATATGAGGGGCACAGGGGGAGGGTTACAGGGTAGGGAGGGGAGGAGACCGGATTAGGGTTGGACATGGTAAATGGTAAATGTACACATAACATTGAATGTAAAACAAGCTCTTAAAATAAAATAGAAAAGAAAAGAAAATAGGAGTAAAGGAAGAGGAACTAACTAAGAAGAAAGGATAAAAGGAAAAGAAAGAGTGGTATAGTCCTCGCGCAAGCATTAGCCACCAAACACAGCTGCAGTGGAAATGCAGAGCTCACTCTGTAAGAGTGCACACCACTATCCACAGAGGAGCACGGGTGAGTGCTGCTGACTGTAGATCTGGGGGTGGGGGGGAGAGCACCTGCTCCATGTGAATTAAAAAAAAAAGAGAAGAAAAGGAGAGGGGAAGAGAAAGTAGATTAAAAAGAGAGAGAGAAAGAAACAAAGGGGGGAGAGGGAAGAGGGAATAATTAAGAGGAAGGAAAAAAGAGAATAAAGTGCAGCACAGTACTGGTGAAAGTGCTAACCACAAATATGCCTATAGTGGGAACATAGTGCTCACTCCCCAGGAGTATGCACCACTTACCAGGGAGTGGCTTGGGCAGGTGCTTCTAATCGTGGAGACAGTAGGGGCAGGGCATTGACTCTGCAGGATCATTAAAAAAAAAAAAAGTCAAGAGAAGAACTAAAAAACCAAAGCCACTGCCACTGAGCCAATTCCAACTGATAGTGACCCTATAGGACGGAACAGAACTGCTCCATAGGGTTTCCAAGGCTGTAGATCATCTTTCTCCTGCAGAGAAGTTGATGGGTTAAAACTGCCTACGATTTGGTTAACAGCCAAATGCCTTAACCATTGGTCTGCCAAGATTTTCAAGAGACCGCAAACCAAAGACAATCCCATTGCCATTGAGTTGATTCTGACTCATAATGATGCTATAGGACAGAGTAGAACTGCCCTATAGGATTTCCAAGGCTGTAAGTCTTAACAGAAGCAGCCTGCCTCATGTTTCTCCTGTGGAAAGGCTGGTGGGTTCTAACCACTGACTCTTGGGTTAGCATGTGTGGTACTTAAGGTTGTGTGTCAACTTGACTGGACTGTGGTTCTGAGTGGCTTGGCAGTTGGATGTAGTTATTCCCCATGATGAGATTGTGATCATCTCCATGGTAGAATCTGCTATGAGATGTTAATCAGTGAAAAGGGAGCTGCCTTTGGTTGTGGGCTGCATCTAGTATATAAGGAGAAGCTTTGGAAAAGGTCCCCAGCTTTTGGCTCATCTGGACCCTGCATTTGGCTGAGTCTTGGCCTGCTATGTTACCTGCTGGTCTTGGGATTGTTGCTGAACTTGAACAAGTGGTTGCCATGTTGCCTGCCAGTCTTGGGATTGGGCCATTTTGGGGTTCACCAACCTCAGCATCCAGCAGCTGCATGAGTTAGAAAATGCATCCAGCTTGAGAGGACCTGGAACAGGAAGCATAGCTGAAGCCCAAGATTGAGGGCTTCACCCAGCTCATAAAACCAGTACTTTGAACTTGATTTCTAGTCCCCTAAACTCTATGAGAATATATTCCTGTTGGTTAAAGCAATCCACTTATGATATTTCTGTTATAGATCACTAGAGGGTAAGAAAATAGGCAAATGCTTTAAACACTATGCAATCAGAGTTCCTTCTTCAGAAGAGGAAGAAGAAAAAGAAATGATAAAGGGGGGGAAGAACTAAGAAGAAGGATAAAGAAAAAAGCAGCACAGCACTGCCAGTGGAGGGGTTTTTGCTGGCTGCCAGTTGGAGGGGTGGCATGCCTCTGGTCACTAGGAGATTATGCAAGATAAGGGAGAATATTTCACCTCTCTGATCATTAGTCACCTATGTGGGTACTACTGCAGTTCTGGGCAAGTACAGACAGTTATCTGATTACTGCTATGATAGCCATTCTATGCCAGTTGGCTGTTCACCACTCTGTGTGCCTCCTTTTTCCCACCCAATTTGAGCTCTTCCTCTCACCCAATTTGATCTACTTCTTTATCCTTTCTTTTGAAGCTCTGGTTTCCAAGATTGTCAACTGTATCCATTTTACTTGATTTCTCAAGTTTTTCTTGTAGAGGATCTTGATGGTGTATCTACCTAGTCCACCATCTTGGATCCTCCAATTCCCCACAACACTGTGTTGAGAGAAAAAAGTGTGTATGGTAGTGTTGGCCTCACTGGTGTAGCATCTTCAATGTGCAGTGAGATCAATAAAGGTCACAGACTACTTTCACCTTCACCACCTACCTTCATCCCGAGGTTGGGATCGGGTTGTCATCCCTGTTCCAGAGCAAATAGAGTAGAATCAGAGTAAATCACAACCCCCTAGACTCCTTGTGAAAAGCATCTGCCTCCTCCCCATCTACTACCTGCTAGTGAACACTTTTCACACTCTGTTGCAGAGGTACCCTCAGCCTCGGGGACAGAAGAAGAAGAAGGTGGTAAAGTATGGCATGGGTGGCATGATCATCGTCCTGCTGATTTGCATCGTATGGTTTCCTCTTCTTTTCATGTCCTTGATCAAATCTGTTGCTGGGGTGATCAACCAGCCTCTGGATGTCTCTGTCACAATCACCCTGGGAGGATATCAGGTAATGCATGAGGGGAACCGCAGCCCGGTGTTACTGTGTGGTTGCTCTCGGTGTCACCTACCTGCTCAGTACTGTGAGGACAACCTCCTGTGGGATGTTTAGTCATGTTTTACAAACCCAATTGTTTTTATCCAGATTTGGACTTTTCAGCAAATATATGATATCTGAAATAAGGTACAGAAGATGGTGAAGGCATAGTTCTCTTCTGGTTTTGGGTACAGGAATAATCACTTCAAAAAGAGATCTCTTAGGCCAGTTGCCATGTGGCTAATCAGTGAATGATATGCCATGTGAATACATTTCTTTTAGCCCAGGATGCAGAGAAGACTCCAGGAATAGTGACCATACCATGTACCTTTGTTTTCCAGCCTATTTTCACCATGAGTGCTCAACAAAGCCAGCTGAAAGTTATGGACCAGCAAAAGTTTAATCAATTTTTGCATACTTTTTCTAAGGACACAGTAAGTAAATGTATCCAGTAGCTCTTTACTGAAGACCTTTCATCTAGGTGAGCTAACTTGTTATATTATCTAATACTTTACCATGTAAGGAAGACTTTTTAACATTTACCAGCCAGAGACCTCAGGTTCCAGGCCAATGGCCAGTTTGATAATCGAAAGTTGTATCTATATTATTAGAGATTAGTGATGATTAACATAGTTTTAATTCAGAACATTTTAATATAAGCTCAATAGATATTGATTCCTTTGACCAGTAGGCCCACTGTGGGAATCTATCCTAAGGAAGTACTTGGGGAAACTATATGTAGGTGCTTTGTATTAAAGCATTCTTCATATTAGTGAAAACTGGAAGCCACTTGAAGGTTCAACAAATAGGGACTGGTTGAGTAATTTATGCTGATTGTAATAAATGAGGGACATGGCACTGACTGCCCTAGAGAGGTCATAGTGAGAAAAGATAGAACTTCTACTTTTTCTTTTATTTAGATGCTATGATATATAAATATCTTCCAAATTACCTCTTTTGTAATAAAATATCATCATAACAAATACTATCAATGATGTGATAATTTCTTAAGACAAAAATCACAATGTTCTGGTGGTGGAATCGTAGGTGATGTTCTTTTCTCTCTATTCCAAACTTTTAATGAGATGATAACATTTTCATATTTAGAATTTGTCTTATGAATAATGCTTTTTTTATTTAGAGAAAGTAATCAGATGTTTTTCTCTTTTGTAAAATTACCAGCCTACAGTGAACACAGTTGAAAGCAACCTTGAGAATGAGCAGCTATTAGGTCAGGGCCAGGATATCTCAGTGGATTAAATTTTGTCTTTCACATCAGAGAAGTGCTCCCCAGTAATTGATAATTTTCCTTTTTAGTGGATAAGGAAATGGTCTGAAATGAAATGTCTTTCCTTGTTCAGTTGGAGAGATTCCACAGTTTACTTGGTAGTGGCCGCACTCAACACTGGAATGAGGCCATGTAACTATGAGCTGCCCCTATCTGTGGGAAGGGAAAAAAAGCTAGTGCAACAGAACATTAAAGATAATCAGTACAATGTTTCCTTTCATAGAGAGTACTCTGTATACAATCAGTTAAAAGGTAAAGTAGTTTATTTCTTTATGCAGCATCATGTGTATGATTTATTTATGTGTGTATATTTGTGCCCATGCAGGGTGCTATGCAATTTCTAGAAAATTATGAAAAAGAAGACATAACAGTTGCAGAACTGGAAGGAAACTCAAATTCTTTGTGGACCATCAGCCCTCCCAGTAAGCAGAAAATGATACACGAACTCATGGACCCCAGTAGTAGCTTCTCTGTTGTTTTTTCATGGAGTATTCAGAGGTAGTTACTGTATTTCCATGCATAATTTATCCCTTTCACAAATCTAAATTTGGGCTGGGAGGGTAGAGGGATATAAAGAAAGCAAAATTAGATTAATGGTAATCTTAATTCATCATTATAACCATGGGAACTTTCTTTCTAATTTAAAGTTAACAATTTTGTTTATAAATAATGAGTTGTTCAGTAGTCACTTATCAAAAAAAAAAAAAAAAAAACTCAGTGTTCCTTTCTTCTATTACTTTCAATTTTTAAAGAAAGACACTACTATAGGCAAGAGAGGGGCTCTGGTAGCATAGTGCCTGAGGCGCTTGACTGCTAACCAGAAGGCTGGTGGTTCAAACCCACCGGCCACTCCTCAAAAGGAAGGTTGGGCAATCTATTTCCCTAGTGATACTGCCTCAGAAACCCAAGGAGGGGTTTCTATGAGTCGGATCCAACTTGATGGCAGTGAGTTGGTTTTGGTTTTTTTTTTTTTTTTTT